CATATATCATAGGATAGCATAGAAAAATTTCTTACGAATAATATACCTTGAGGATAGCATAGAAATTTTAATTTTTTTTTTAGAACTTTACTTTTTCTTAGTTCTCTTAATGACAATGAGACAGATATAAAGGAAGGTAGTCAAACGTCTCCAAACTTTAAAAAAAGCATATAAGGGTGTCACAAAGAGGGTCACAGAGAAAAAAAAATTGAAATTTCTTTGTAACAGCAAAAAAATCGATGAAAAGTCTGCAAGCCATCTTTCAAGTATGCTAGACCACTTAGATCTACATTAGTCGGAGCATCTGTTTTAGGATACAATTTTTGTTATTTTTCTACTACTTGGCTCCAGTAACTAGCTTCTCATCTATTTTAACCTTCTTTTTTTGGAATCTTTATAGTCAGAAGGAGGTATAGATGATACCGCATCAAGAGTCTGTTCCATCTTATCCTTACTATAGATAATACCATCCAATACTTTAATAGTCTTTTTAGCAGAAGTGAAGTCTTCCGCCTTCTCATAAATTCTGCGCAATTGGGGTATAAATACTAGGCTAGTGGTAGTATCCAAAAGTAATTGACACAATAATAGCCCTGCCTTCTCATAAATTCTGCGCAACTGGAGCACAAATTTTATTATCCGATATAACCCAAAGTAACAACTATGCGAGAAAAGGTTCTAGGAATATAAGGATGAAAAATATAGCATAGATTCAGTAGGCCACTCAAGCAGAATTATATATAGGAAAGAAAAGAGAAATTATGCTCGAGTGGCCTACTGAGAATAGGCAGGAAAGGGGTCAGGAAGGCAGAAAGTCTCAGGAGAATACACGAAAAAAAGGTATAAAAGATCGATATAGGGGGTACGCCCAAAGTAACGATCATAGGAGCACCCAAAGTAGCAACTATGCGAGAAAGAGTTCTAAAAAAGCAGGAGGCAAAGCAGGGCATAGATTTGGAAGAAAGTACAGCCCCTTGACACCACACCTATCTCGATCACGCCCTTCACAAAAGAACCATATGACGCAACCAAACCCAAGACCAGTAACTGAGCACCCTAGCAATAGAGGCACTCACTCTGTATTAATAACCTCATTCAAATTTCTTGTTGATAGCTTGATCATTAAATATGGTTTTTTTGATTGGGATTAAATAGTATTTATTTTATGAGAAATAAAACGATAATGATTGAGATTGTATATTTTTTATTTTTTTAGATTTTTATATATATAAAAAATCATTATTTTGACCATTTCAACTTTAGATCTTTTCAAAATCGAAATGTTTTAACCATTTTGACTATTTTAACTTCATATATAATAATCACATCTCTTTATATACATCTAATTTTGAGAAACAGTTTTAATTAATATTAAATTACCTTTATATAATCATAAATCAATTATAATTACTATCAATTATTCTTCCTAAACCTATATATTATTTTTATTAATAATTAGATCTCTTTTATAATAAATATAATTTGTCAAGTCATAATTTTAACTAAAATTATGAATCACATAACTTATGATTATTGTATAAAATTTTATTTTTAGAATTTAATAATCTAAAAAATAAATTTTCAATTAAAAAAGAATTTTTGTGAAATAACTATCTCTAAAAATGGTAAAATTACATGATTATATACTATATAATTCTAATTTTAACCAAACTTATGATAATTTTAAAAAAAGCTTAAATTCATATAATCACACTTTTATATAATCACTGATTTTATTAAAACTGATTAGGTGATTATATAAATGCCTGATTGTATTTCTTTCTGATTATTTAAATATTCAAATTAATCTAAAGGTATTAAACAAGTATTAATTAAAAGAGAATAATAGTATCATAGTTTGCATCTTAATAATAAGTTATATAAAAAAAAACAAAATAATAGATCTAATAAGAATTAATTATTATGCATATAAAATTACAATTTTCTTGTATAAAATTAGAATTAAAAAATAATTAAGAAAGTTAGTATAATGTATTTTTATTTCAAATTTTATTGTAGAAGATCTGCTTAATTTCTGATCTAACTGACTGATTTTTAGTATATTACTGATATTCCTGATTTTGCTAATCAGTCTGATAAGTTTGACATGTTTGATTTTAAATATATTTAATATCTCTTTATATTTTTTATATTTATTATCACTGGTATATTTATTATTTCTTTTATATTTTATAAATTTCTTTTATTTAATATATTTAATATTTTATATTTTTATTATAAAATTAGTTGGTTTATAAATGTTAAATATAAACTTTCTCTTTCTTCATATTCTTCATCTAGGATTTGATATGATTTTACATTACTTTATATATTGTAATTTATTAGTTATAATTTTCTTATTTTTTGTAAATAAAAGTGACATATATTATTAATTCAAGAAGTCAAGCTTTTTGAATACTTATAAAATATAGAATGACCTAAGATTAAAATCTCTGCAAGAAATATCTGTCTTATATCATGGTAATATCAACTAAGTTTCTAATAAAAGAAACAGAATATTTAGATTTGATTAACAAAATGAATATGAATTATTGTTACATAATAGATGAGAGTAAAATTCCTACACTGATAATATGAACATTGTGATTATACATAAAATGAATCACAAAAACCTATTTCAGAAGCATTAAATTTTATTTTATTTTGCTTAAAAATCATAAAGATATATAGATATATATACTTGCTGTATTTGCAGAAAAAAATACAAATCATGTAGAATAGTTCCTAATGATGTACTTAATCAAATATAATTCTTGATTAACATTAAATATTGTATTCTCCAATCAAATTCATTTTAGGTCATTTGATTTTGTTTTATGTCGGCAAAAAATATTGAGAAATCTTTTTTCATTTTTGTTTTTTTTCAAGAGCTCTGATCACTATTATAGAGGTACTGATTAATCTTAAGAATTTGAATCGTTTTACATCAAGTTTTTTTAAAAATAAAGTTCAAATTAATATATATATTAGTTATTTTATATTTATTTATGGTAAAAATATTTTCTTCGAGCATAATTATCTCAAAAAAAGAGTTTTAATTACAAAAATAATCTAGCAATTGTTATTTTTTTGATTAGTTTAGAGAAATTTTATTAAATGTAAATTAATTACTCAATAAATATTTCAACGATAGTTGCACATAGTGTGCGTAAACTTTGAAGATCCTCTGTTTTTTGACCAATATAAAACCCTCAGCATATGAATTTTGAACCTTATTCATTAGCGAAAAAGACCGATTTGAACTTGCCTCTCGTGTTAGTATTCATAACGATATTCTGCGCCAAACGTCGATCATGATTTCGTTGTGCGTGGATTTCAAAATCGGCCAAAATTTTTGACCAGATATCATAAAGTTAAAAATATTTGATTTACATATTCATTTTATTCATTTATAGATTATAAAATCCAATTGACACTTAATACGGTTGAATTAAATAAACGATAATGATTTATTTATATATTTAGTGAGTTATTTATTATTTATTTTTTTTTGTGTTAAATAATATAAAACATTGGTTAAAAAGAATAGTAAGTTTTTTTTTACCTATCAATAACGATAACAAGAAAACAAGCAGCCAAGGATAATATAGTTAGTATAGTACCAACTAGTACACTACCTCTACTAGCAGGAAAATGGCCTGTAGTCATTAAATATTGAGAATGAAAATATCTAGTAATGCCAAAACCTAGGAAAACAATTCCCAACATTATAAAGACAATACCAATTACGTTTCCTCCTTTATTTGTATCTCCTTTTAAACGAAATAATTGTGTGACCGCTGGATAAAATAGGAATGATAAGAGAGACGTTCGTTTAAAAATAATCAATACCAACGTAATTTACATAATTTACTCACCAACACCGATTCCTATGAATGATAGGGAAGTACGAAGCCAAGCTAAAAATGTTCTTTCATTTGCTATTGTATCATTAATGGAATTGAAGGTAACTATATGATCACGATAAACAATAATGAAAATTCAAATATATATTTTAACATACCCAAATGATCTCTAGCGACACTGGCCTTATTTTCCAACACCAATGAAGGTTTAAGCTGATCAAACTTCTTTACCAACCACTTTCTAAATGAACTTTTTGAACTTTCATCTTGTTGATGGCTACGAATACTATATCCACTTCCCATATTACTATTATTATTATAATTATTATTGCTTTGTTGATGTTTTGATGAATTTGTATTATTGGGAGTTTCTTTATCTAAATTATTTTTGTCATCACTGTTGCAGGTTATGGAATTTTCTTTTTGATGATCATGCGAAGGAGACAAGTCCTCAACTTCTTCAGGTAAACCAGAAGAACGACGATAAATAAGCTTTGAATTGAATTGTTGATTTGTAGAAGTTGTTTTTGTGAAGGTCACGGGATTTGGTGAAGGCATTATATATTTAGTAGTGGGCAATATAAAATTCGAAATTTTGTTCGCTCAACGAACTTCTAATGAAAAAAAAATAATGATAAAAATATTTTGATGAGTATTTGTTTTATTCGCGGAAGAGAAAAAAATATAAGGTTTTTTGGCGCAAAAAACGGTTTCGTCTATATATATCAATCGAAAAAATGCAGTTGGCGTAATTAAAGACGTTTCACGATTGGTTTCTCGGTCGATCTTTATTTCATTGACCGATAATATTATTTGTACGTCACAATTATCTTTCCAACTCGTAAAAATGAAGGGATAGATTTATATATAAATATGTCAGCTCATTTTTACCTTCGCTCATTTTAAGAAAATATTTATTGTGAAAGGGATGGAATATATCCGCAGCAAATTCTTTTTTTTTTTTCATAAAAAAACATACGCCAAAAAAGAATTTCTTTTGAAATTTGTTTTTGAGTTCAAATACAAGTTATCTTGTTTATGAACGAGTTTTTTGTGGTAACTAACAAATTGTCACGAGTACAAAATTCGAATACTCAGATCATAACATTTAAAAAACTTTTTTGAGAGAAAAAAAGGGACGAAAGTCATGATGAAAAAAATAACGCCAATTAAATATTATTATATTGGTCATGACATGTCCTTATTTATCTAGCAATGAATATTTATTTTTGACTAATCAAATAAATAAATGAAATAAATAAAAAGATGTACTAACTATACCAAAAGTTCGACTTTTTGACGTGTAATATGTTCGGTATGTTCGGTCAATCCTCACGTGAGACTTAGCTCATTTGAATTCAAATTCGGAACAGATAATAAAAATGACAGTTCTTTATAGAAATACACCACTTCTTATTATACCAAACACAAACACGAAAGAACAGGATTAATGATCCATGTAGAAAGAAAAAAAAATGTGGGAGACTTTGAATACAAAAGATCAATCAATGTATTGCGCCACTCACAATTTTTACCTTGACCTAAAAAAAATATTTCTTTGTTTCATCAACTTATAATGTACTAGTCCGTGATTTGTCGGAAATTGTCCGATTAGACTGAATTTTTTTTTACCGGGCATTTATAAAGTTACAATATGAGATATGTAATATCATGCTTTCCGCGGAAAATTGATATACGATAAAAGCATCAATTAAAAACTGCAGACGTTATCATGTCATGTAAAATTACGTTGTAAGTTTTATTTCCTACCCCCTTTTTCATTTGAGTCTCCTGTTTCGGTGATGGATGGATGGATAAGAAACAA